AACTCACTGTAAAAATAAATTAAACATAGTATCTAACATTTTATTAGTCGAGCATCTAATAAAACACCAAAACGTTGCTCGGATGTTTGTATTTACTTTCGATTAATAAAAGCATCATGTGCAACTCCTTTGGTTTCGTCGACAGAGCGATTTCAGAGACGTTGAGCAGTTTCGCGACTTTCACACGACATGTGGGCGTCACCTGTCGTGTCGTGCTTTACTAGTCGTCCAGCAAACGTAAACGACCCGCCCGATTGGACCACGCCGATCTTATGTCACACACCATAAGAGTCGACGTTGTGAAAATGTAAATTTGTCTGGCATCGCCCACTGGCAATCATTGGTTCTGTCTAGTCCAGCTTGCGTTTCATCAGTACGTTCGTTAGCGAAACTTTCCAATTTTGTATCGATAGCACTGATATCGACGCATAGACTTTAATCGCTACTCAAAAGCGACAAAGATGGATTGAAAGTATATTTATACTTAAATTGTAAGAACTGACTGCACACCAATATCTTTTTAGTTATTGAACTCTATTGTCAATCATACTGATCAACATTGAAGTCTTTGACACCTCCAGTATTAACTGACACGTTATGTATATTTTTTACTAGAGATTATCGCCCACTATCAAGTCAGCACTACATCTTTATGAATCTGCATTGTTTGACAGATCATTAATTACATGTTTGTAACGTTGGTCTTTCGTCTCTCTTATTAAAAAGTTTGTTTACATTAGATGTTTTCTGACATATAAGTTTTCTTTTTATCAATAAATTGTAATGTTTATTATCGGTGTGGAGAGCAAAATTATTAAATATTGTTGTGGTTGCACGTGGTTACAGGTGCTCGTTTTTATTGCGCACTAAGTATTGTTGTTACCCATTTGCAGTTATCAGGTACAATTTCCAATTGATAACGCCGTTTTAAAGACGACAAAGTCATGTGTTTCAATATTCTATAGTATTAATAGAACACAACGAGTCATCGGTTTGCTGCGTGATGTTACACACTAGAATGTTATACGTTATCGTTTCAATACCAACGTAAGTGATAACTCTATGAGAAGCCGTGCCCCTACAATTAAGATTATCTTATATGATTTTTAGATAATCATAAATTGCGCATAGCATACGCGTAAAATACTCCGTGGAATATTTCGCTTTTGTCTGGTCTCATCTATGAACTACAATTGAATAAGTACAGATCAATCTAGTGAATGACGTCGATGCGTGTTATCAAGTTCGATACATGCTCATGTTCATACCTATGTTCGACAATGTATGCTCAATAAAATTCCAGTAAACGGGACTCATTCATTACAAATAGGTATTCGTTTGGTTATTTTTGACAATAATAGAAACAGTTGTGATTAGCAGGAACCTTGTTTCAGATTTCCATAGTACAAGTGCTAATATGAAATGGTAAATTTTCAAGCTTTGTGTTGTTGCTTCTGCCTCTGAAAAAGTTACTCTGTCTCGGAATTGTGAGCGCAACAGCCAAAGTGAACTATCATCTTCATCATGACGTGTGCCTTATAAATATCCCCACTGCTGGGATACAGGCCCTCCCCTTGGATGGGATCAAATAGGAGAAAAGGCCTGAACCTGCCATGCAGGCCTTGTATGTGCGAGTAGGTGTGTCTTAATGAATGCAGATACGCCCGGAATCGACAGCTTAATGTGCCTTTTAAAATACGAAGGAACAAAAAAATAACGTCTTTGTCACCCATCCTATGAAGATTACTTACTTCCGTCTTGCAGACGCGCTCAAATGAGCTCGTCGATGTTGGTCGTTTGTGGTCCTACTTAGATGATGGCGCGATTTGGTCTAAGAGTGAATGAGTAAACTATAAGTAAATGAGCTAGTTAAATTATAAAAGTATCTACTTGATACGGTATCTAATTCACAGTTGAAGTTAAGCAAAATTAAAATGCATGTCCTAGTTTGTCAATGATTATGTATGTCTCGGCAACCGGCATATTGATCAGTAATCGAAAAATATCTGTCTTGTTATATCTAATATAGTAATGGAGAGTGACTTTATAGTCTAATGAAGTCACTTCCCAATAAGACTTGCTGAGTTTCTTGCCGGTTCATATCAGTACAAGGTCTCCCGCCGTCGTTTTGCGAACCATTGGTATAGTTTTTGACTTTCACAAGTGCTATGTAACAGCCAGAATAAATGATTTTGATTTAATTCAGTTTAACTAATGTAGAAAACTACACATCATGATGCACAATCTGCGCAGAGAGCCGATATTACACACAAGTAATCGATCAAGATCTTAATACAGCAATTGGACAAGACTCGCTCACAGTAAATTACGAGCAAAATGTATCACATCTCACATCTGGCCCACATTGGATATTCTTCATGCCATATCGCGGCAAATGGTACAATAATTGGGGTCATAAATTATAGGGACTCATTGCGTACCTTTGATTAATACATATACTAATGATCGAATTATGTATTTTCGTGGTGATAGTCACGTAGAAATAAATTTATTGGAATTCTATTAACGCACTCGATCCGTTTTCAGTGTTATAATCTGTTGTTTTTAATAATAAATCTCTAGATAAGATTAATTTAATGCAAGGACGCTCGGCGTTTGTGATTCGAAAGATATTAGTTTTTTATACGACTTAATATTTATACAAATCTTGTGACCAGAATTGAGATTATCTGCCAGTATTAACATTCAAATATACTTCTGGAACTTCTACTGTAACCGCTCTCCCGTAGCTTTTTATTTATATGATCAAAGGATAAAGTTTAATCATATCCTCAATCTTGGGTTCAGGTTGCAGATATCGGTTATACCATGTTAATGTTAGCTTAGCTAAACATTGATAATGTCACGGGTATGCTTATCTGAGAAGCCATTGAACTCTTTATATCTACTGTCTGAGGATTGCTTATTTATAGATGTTGGTAGGTTTTGAATACTTTTCACTTCCACAAACTTTCGGTCAAAATCTTAGGTGCTTTTAATGTTTTCATTTCAAAAATAATCAAAATAATTCATAAGTTTTGCATGTAAAATTATTTATTGTATATATTACTTTTTAAGCAGGAACATGTATAAAGTACAATTTAATATAACAACTAGTAATCGGTCAAAGATATATGCGAGTGCAAACATTATTACAGTCTAGTTCTTATCGCGAAAACAGTATCTACTGCGCGTCAACAGGTGTGTCCAGTTCAGAAGACATATTCGAAAGATTTCTTCTAAAACATGTAATTTTAAGGACCATCACAAATCTATCTATCAAGTACTATAAAACGGAAGATTGAGGGTGTGTAAAAACTATTACGTAACCTGCGTTTAACCTGATACTCCTTAATCCTCGGTTCACAAAAAATGCGAAGGGATCCTGTTTGTTAGGACCCGAGAAATGTTCGGGGGTGGCGGGGGAATGCGGCACCTCGCAGGCGCGCCACTCTGCCGCCGAATAAATTATGTTCTTAGGCCCTATCACTCCCCGCTCCCGCTACCACCTCGCCGCCCGCACCACCGCCCAGCGGACCTTATCGATCGGGCTGGATAATCCGAGAGGTCGCTAGATCGCCGACGCCTGCGCACTCCATACTACGATGACCTCTTGCCCCGGCCAAGCTTAATCGAGACAAAATGCCATTTGCAACAGTCACGACATTAATGTTTACCAGATAAAAGGGGCGTAATAGAGCATGTGCACAGATAATACGCTGTGCTGTTTTTGAGTACACAGTTTGTTTATTTGTAATCATTTAATTATCATACGGCATAGCCTGTACTTCCCTTCAAATAAATATTTACTTGCAAATTATTTTTCCTAGATCAGTTAGCATTTTAATTGAATATATAAGAATGGAACACAAAAATTTATGTTAAGCTCTTTGATGAAGTGTGGCTTGTCAAACGTAGAAACACTGAAATCGTACTGCACGTGTCGTAGGCTGATAATATTATTATCAACATACATGTTTAAGTCTAACACAATGTTTGAAAGTATTATACAGTAGTCATTTAGCTATCGTTTCCAAAGTAAACTATGGTTGGTTACTAATAATGACTTTAGGATATGAAGAATGTCCTTGTATATTTTTATTATTTCATGATCAGTCCAGCGGCAAACAGAGATCAAGCTTAAACTTGATCCAAATAAATGCAAATAAAAGATTTATTTACCTTATTAATACACTTTCTCTTTTTTTTCCGTAGTCGTTTTAGTAATGTATCTTAATAGACGTAGTTAACTCGCGTCTTATTTCTCATCTCATCACCTATATTATTTGGATTCTTTAATCTAATTAGCATGTAATTTAGCAATGGACACACCTGATTTCAATTTTACATATGGACGTTTTGAATTCTCGTTCCAAGATGTATTAATTCCTTAAGATTACACGATAAAAATTGACGTTACCGTTATGATTTTAGCATTTCGACACGGTACAGATCCCGTAGTGACGCAGCATACACGTGAGACGCATGTGGTTCATCTCGATGAGATGCTCGACGCATTCGCAATTCGAGATAAAACTTAAGCAGAATATAATTCGTCGGTATTGTCGAAAGTGCGCTGATTAACATTGACTCTATATGGAGTTTTGTGTTTATTATCTCCACTAGAGCTTACAGAGTGTTTCAGCTAAATTAAATTAGTTACAACTTTCACTTTTGAAATAGTTTGATTTTAGTCTAAAGTTATCCATATATAATTATGTCTTATACTAATTATGTCGCATCATGAATGTTTCAAAATCAAATCTTACAAATCTATTTTCCATATACATAGTTTGTTGAGCTGAAAACTTAGAATTCAACGAGTACGATTAAATAATACGACAAGCCAGTCGCGACCGTTAGCGTCAGTGATAAGATCGTGTTGTTTATATGTCGCAATTAGATCGTATGAACAGTTGGCATCAATGAATCGCTACACACTTCCCCGAGTCGGTGAGCGGTCGTTTGCGTGCATCGCGCGCTATCTTGTAGCTGGAGCCATGTGGAGGCTGCAGAGGTGCATAGTGCACGACAGTCGAGGGGCGCCCCGCTCCGTCCGGCTGAGCCCCGCACGTCGTGCGCCTCCACACTCGAGTTCGTTCCGTAGTCAGTAACCCACGGAACGCCCCGCCTAGCGCCCGTTGCGCCTCACGAGACTGCGTGCGTTGTCACCGTTCACAATAATCTCCGCTGTGTAAAAATAAGCCGGGCGACAGACGGCGGCGTCCCAAGTTATATTTAAATGATAGCGCGGACGCGGGACCAAAATCGCCTCGATCGCTCAACGGCATCATGAGACTAAGTACGTGCATCTAGAACATAAATCTAATACTTCACGGCTGCAGTCATATGTATTGTGTTCAGTACTGGTTGTGTTCATAGGTTCTCGAGCCTGTTCGGGCTAGTAATTATGTGTACCGATAAATGTGGGTGCTACCGCTTGTCTTTTACTGTATCGTGCGTGATCTTGAGTGAATTCTCTAATTTCCGTTTCTGAACGGATTTGTAATGCATGGTGGTAGTGTCGGATGAATAATTCATAATTTCCTGTCTTTGTCGTTTTCCATGGGTTTATCTATGCTGTAAGTAAAACTAATAGGTTTCCAAAGTGGTGCATGTAATGTGCACAGATTGCCAATGTTTATTATGATTCATTGCGGAAAATTAAAATTACACCAGTGCGTAACTACAAACTCATTAATGAGTAAATAATTAGAAACTACCCATACCACTTCAAGTATTTTTGGTTTTAACCGCTTTAAATAATTTTGTTTATTTTGATATATGTACTGCTAATTAGAAATTTGTTCATTTTCTTTACTAGCTACAAGTAATACTTTGAAGAATTTAGAAGTGTGTTATGTTTGATGTAAAGTTATAATCACAGATTTTGGAATATATAACTGGCCACATCTCTAATTTCGATATATCGCCTGAAAAGCAATAAATGTTTCTGTTTGCGGTTTTAACGATTTTAATGACAATAGCCTTTGAAGAATTTATTGAATTTAATAAATACGTTGGTGGTAATTTACGGTCATTGTAATTACTCAAGCTTACCGTGTAAGATAACTGCTTTGCGCAAGTAAGACTGCTACAGCATGTAGGTGTATGAAGTTATCTCATTTCATTGATTTGTTTAAATGGCTGTATAACTTAAATTCTAGAACTTTTCATACAAATGAAATAGTACCCAATTATATATTTTTTTTTATTATAAAAGCTTATATTACCCGTATTAGAATATGTCTAGGAGTTTTATAAAATGTATTATTTTGACATGTGCTATTATGTGGAAGTGTTACCTGCGTTACTATTGTTGATCTGAGCAGAGAGCCCTTTGTTAAATGATTATTAGAATGTTGAAGGGCGGCCCAGTTATACCTGTTGCCCGAACCGTGCCAAAAAACCTCTCTTGATACTTTTCGAAGTTCCAACTCTCCAGATGAGTTATATTTTTGTTTTCTGCATGTCTCGCGTTCCATCGACGCTGCTCTGAATATTTATATTATATTTTTATATCTGTGTCCCTAAAATAGAAAACGGTTACGATTGAGTCGACTGCCTTAAAATTGATGGATGTCATTTGAAAACTCTTAACATACGTTTTTTACTAATGTTCTTATGTCGCTTCGATATAATACTATTTTTTTTATTGTATTTATATTACTTCACATATAACGATCAATTATTACATGTTTATTATTGCATGAAAGCATTTATATTTATTATAAAACGTCCTTATTGCAAATGGAGAAATGTTCTCTGGTAGAGTCCCGATAGAACAATGTGTGAGAAATATCTCCTTATATATAATGGACTATTGATCAGTTCCATTGATACGCAACATTGCTCCTGTTCAATAGGCTGTTACTTTGTGGTCTGCAACTCCTCATGCGTCCCTGTTAGTCTGTGCTCATTGGTCCGTCCTGCGAATTCTTAATTGTATCCGTTCGTCGATTTGCAATATTTTGTTCTGTTTACATCAATCGGTTTTGTTATTTTAAATCCATATAAATATTATTTCCTCGAAAATTCTATGCATGCTAATATTTCTATTTTATTTTAAGCAAACTACGTAGTCGTTTAGTTTGTTCAAAAATATAGAGAAGAAGAGTCAATCAAAAGTACCAAGTATGGCATTGCATTATCTACCCAAGTCATATCATTTCAGTATATAAGTTATGTAAAGGAATTATTTAATAATCTTTTTAATTCTGCATTGAGTTAGATAGGCTTATTTAATCGTAAGTTTTTATTTTATGCAAAGATTTCACTTGACATATTTTGTTAAAATTATTGTACCTACTAGTTTTCGCCGGTGGCTTCGCCCGTGTGGTCCCTAGGGAAATGTTTAATGAGATTAAAAGTATCCTATTATCCAAGTCAGCTAATACCCTACCTGTATACCAAATTCCATCATAATCCGTTCAGTAGTTTCGACGTGATTGACGGTAGGGAATGCAATCTCGCGAGATTGGGATTCGGGCGAGATCTCGCGAGCTTATGAATATCAATACCGCGAGATCTCGCTAATTACGAGATTTCGCGAGATTGGCATTTTTGGGTGGTTACTGTTTAACCGTTATATTTATTAAAAACACAATATTTGAATAAATTAATAAAAAGTATAGGTATTATGAAATAAACATTTATTTTTAGAGGTATTTTCAATAAAGTTTTATGTATTTAAAATTGTTTGACGCAATTATATTTCTTTTTATGTAAAACCTTTAAAAGAGCAATTACTGTATTATAATCTCAGAAACGGCTCCAAAAATTTTCATGATATTAAGTATACATGGCTTTCAGAGGCGATAATTCGTTTTAGTTACGTTTAATTTTCTTATTTAATAAAAATGCCAAGTAAAGCTTAGTCATCCAGGTATTAATCTTTTAAGAAACTAAACTTTGACGTATCTAATCAAATACGAAATGAAATAAATAACCAGTTTTCTCTGCTAATATCAAACAAAAGTTCGCATAAATTCGCGCTGCCGCACTTAGAATAAATACGAGTAGTTTTTATTCTCAATTTCGATATCGTTAAACTCGCGAGATCTCGCCCATTTTTCGACCGAGATCAATCTCGCTAAAAAAGGCCGAGATCTTGCGACAACGAGATTGCATTCCCTAATTGACAGACAAACATCTAAACAAAGAAACTCACATTTATAATATAAATATAGGATATAACATGAAATAGGTGGTCTTGTAAAGCTCTATTTTCACTGACTGTTTCATTAACACTGTTTGTTTACAAATCGTGAATATTAATTAGAATAGCGCATGCACGATTACGTATGTTTGGTTTTATATTTTGGTTGGTTATTTCGTTCCACTACTTGAGGTAAATAAATTATTATACCACCTTTCCATTCCTTCAGGAAAAGAGTGGTGTGTGGTAGATAAATCGCATTGCGGATTGTCTGCGATTATACCGGTTAATTAACATGGTTCGTGACGTATAGTTGTAGTTATATTGTTTATTTTGTTACTTAATCTTAATTATAATGTTTAACTGAGTTGGTAATGTTCGATTTCAGATCGGGGCATAGTGTGCGAGTGTGCAGGTGCCACCGCGTGCCCGAGCGGCGCGCCCAACGGCACGTGCACCACACAGCCCGGCGGGTACTGCTTCGTGGCAGTCGAGGAGGTGCTCGACGATGCGGGCCGCGTCGTGCTCGACCGAAGCGCGGGCTGTCTGCCGCCCGACGAGTCTGGATTTATGCAGGTATACATCCGTGTATAGTATACCTTAGGTGAATAGGTCCGATCGGGTCACCCGTGAGATAATACGGTTACACTACTGAAGCGAGGAACCGTAATTGGCATCCTGTTGTTTATTTAATCTCATCTAATAGCTGTCGGTCTACGTAAAAAAAAAATGAACGACCGTCGCTTCGTCTCGTCGAACCGAAAAGTTTACTAGAAAAAAAAAAGTATAATTCAACGTCGCCGAGTCCATCGAAACGATCGGACGAAGCGGTCGATCCGAAAACAAAGGGGGGAGAACGATTAATAACTCTCGGCGACGGTCGCACTCAACGTCCCTCGGTCGTGTTTCAGTGCAAGAGCGCGCAAGTACCCCACCGGCACCCCAAAGGCATCGAGTGCTGCTCGGATAGCGACCTGTGCAACCTGCGCCTGCGGCCGCAGCTGCCGGAGCCGCCTCCCGACGCCCTGGAGCCGCCGGGCGTGAAGGCGGCCGCGCCCGCGCCCGCGCTGCTCGTGGCCGTGGCGCTGGGCGTGGCGCTGGTGGCGTTCGTGGGCGGCGCGGCGCTGCTGTGCCGGCGGCGGCGGCGCGCCGGCAAGCGCCCGCCCTCGCCCGTCGCGCCGCTCGCGCCCGACGCCTCCTCCGGCTCCGGCTCCGGCCTGCCGCTGCTCGTGCAGCGCACCGTCGCCAAGCAGATCCAGATGGTCGAGTCCGTCGGCAAGGGCCGCTACGGCGAGGTGTGGCTCGCGCGCTGGCGCGGCGAGAAGGTCGCCGTCAAGGTGTTCTTCACCACCGAGGAGGCGTCCTGGTTCCGCGAGACCGAGATCTACCAGACGGTGCTGATGCGCCACGAGAACGTCCTCGGGTTCATCGCGGCCGACATCAAGGGCACCGGCTCGTGGACGCAGATGCTGCTCATAACCGACTACCACGAGAACGGCTCGCTGCACGACTACCTGCAGACCGTCGCGCTCGACCCGGCGAGCCTCGTCGAGATGGCGTACTCGATAGTGAGCGGGCTCGCGCACCTGCACATGGACATATTCGGCACGAAGGGGAAGCCGGCGATCGCGCACCGCGACATCAAGAGCAAGAACATCCTCGTGAAGAGGAACGGGCAGTGCGCGCTCGCCGACTTCGGGCTCGCCGTCCGGTACGTCGCCGAGCGGAACGAGGTCGACATCGCGCCCAACACGCGCGTCGGCACGCGCCGGTACATGGCGCCCGAGGTGCTCGACGAGCGGCTCGACGGCGCCGACTTCGAGGCGTTCAAGACCGCGGACGTGTACTCGCTCGGGCTCGTGCTGTGGGAGATGTGCCGCCGCTGCGCCACGGCCGGCGGGCAGGTGGACGAGTACGCGCTGCCGTACCACGATTGCGTGGGGCCGGACCCCTCGTTCGAGGAGATGCGCGCGGCGGTGGTGGCGCGCGGGTTGCGGCCGGCGCTGGCGCCGCGTTGGCTGCGCGAGGAGCCGCTGGCCACGCTGGCCGCGCTCATGGCCGAGTGCTGGCACCACTCGCCGCCCGTGCGACTCACGGCGCTGCGCGTCAAGAAGACGCTCGCCAAGTTCATCGCGGAGCCGCCCCTCAAGCTGGTGTGAGCGCACTTCGAGCGCCGTTTGATGTTTCGACGATAACGCGCTTTCGAGAGAGACCTGATGTCGGGACCGGGTTCGATTCGCGGTCGTAGATTGTACTTAAGGATCTATGAAAAGACTAAACGCGGGGTGGATTATTATATGTAGAGAACGAGCCGGCTCCGGTGCCGGTGTGGTATTGAACGAGGCAGATTCACGTCGGAGCCCTCCGGATCCGTTTAAAGAATGTGCCTTATTTTTAAGTACGCGTGGACGGTTCGTCTTTTATCTGTGTGATCTGTGAAAATATTATTCCTATGTGACCGATCTGTATGAATAAAATGAATATATATCTTTACGACCGAAATCCGTAACGCCGTGACGTCCTCGATGAAATTGAAAAGAATGCCTTTATTTATATAATCGTTTGTAGTGTGGCCGTTGCCTGAATCTGTCATTTTGTAAATATACTAGTACGTTGACCGAGTGTCGATTGAATTAGCATTTATTGTGTGCTCGTGCACTCGAACCTTGTACAGTGTTTTGTAAATATAGGATATAATTATAACATTGCATAGGTATCTAATACGTGTTGCTATATAAGTTACGAATAAAATATTAATGGATTTAATTTTGAATTTTATTTATTTTGTTATTAATGAGTGATACTAGTTTCCCGCGGCGGTTAATTTATTATATTTGTCAACTAGCCGGCCCATGAAATATTTGTTAAAATAGAAAAAAAAATCTTATTAAAACCCAAAAACTTCCAAAATAGCTTTGACTGTGTATCTCCTCCTCCTCTATAATGAAAATTTGTACCAATATAAAGTTTCAAGCACAGAACACATAAAGACGTTTCAAGCACGAATTTAATAACCCCATTTTTAGACAATTTTTTTCATATATTTATTTCAATAGGCAGCCTGTTAAAAAGTTTCATCCCTTAGGTCACGTACTAGACACGCGATGGAGGTGGCGACAGCAGCGGGGGCGGCAACGGCTCGTTCTCGACGCAAAGGTTGTGTTTAAATTCTCTTTACTCGAGGCCAGCTGTATGTTCACTCATATCAGTTTAAATGTTTAATATAACGAGTTGTCGAGTATAAAATATCTAAAGAAGAGCGTTCACTATCCATACAAGCGTTGACCTGTCGAATATTTTTTTTAGTATTGGTGAATATTGATGTTACCGATTTATTTATGTTCCAAATATGTCCGTAAAAAATTATTATTAATATATATTACTTTTGCATCCATGAAACTGAGAAATAATAAAATAAATAATTTGAGGTTATGTTACAAAACATCGAATAGTAATAGTAATATCTCTTAAATATTCATATAATGAGGAAGTACCTATTTAAAAAAAAACGAAAGCACTAAAAAAGCACCTCCACTAGATGGCGACCCTAGCCAAAGTTGATTTTTGCAGGAAACGAATGGACCCAAGACAGTAATTTCCGTTCCTTTTAACTAACATATTAAAAAACTGAAATTTAAAAAGTTCGAAAATTAAATATCAATACAAATATGAAAAAGTACAAATAGAATATGAGTTGTTTACTGCGTTTTGAAAACTAATTTACTTTTAAACATGAAAGAAAACCGGAAGGATTGTCATGGACAAATCAAGAACGTACTGTAGCGACATCTAATTTGATTTCGGGAACTATTTTTTTTTAATACCTCTTCATTCGCCGTGGCCTCGAAATGTTGAAATATCATTAATTATATAATCATTATAAATCTAAAAATTGTATTAAAAATCTGTATCGAGTAGCTCGGTGGCGTAGTGGATAAGCGCCGCGGCCCGCGATCGTTGTCGTTAAGCAACTTTCACGGGATGGGTGACCAAAAAATTATAGTTATACCATTGGTCCCGGCTACATTTACAGCCGTTAATATCCTCCAATCCGCATTGGGCCAGTGTGGAGGGTCATGGCTCATCCTTCTTAACCATCCATAAGAAAGACCTGAGCCCCCGCAGTGTGGGCGTAAAGGGCTGTTGATGAATATGATGATGGTATTAATAATCGAAAAACTACTGGAATACGGAATGTATGCAAACGCTACCAGCGATCTTGTCGAATCACCTAAAGGTTGACTGACAGAGAATGTCCGCCTTTTTAAAAGTAAAATCTAAATATATATAACACAAAGGTGACCGACTGACATAGTGATCTATCAACGCACAGCCCAAACCACTGGACGGATCGGGCTGAAAATCCAATAGTATTTCTTAATATTTTCTATCAATATTCTAGTTATCATAAGTTGAAATAACAGTTGTAGCACATAAATGTAAACTAAAAGTGGTTGTGTTATTTTAGCTTACAGCAATGGATCAAGCGTGTACTGCGTGTTGGTTAAGGGCTCAGAGGACTCTTCGTCGTCAGCAATGTGTTGATGAGGCCAAAGTGAATATTGAAGAATCAGTGTCTTGTATTAATTGCAATGAAGAATTGTTACATGGCAGTGGCCACATTTTGTCAAATGAAGATGAAAATCTCACCAACATGATTAAAAACTGGGTATATCCAAACACTGTAAGTGCTTTATTTAGGTTGATAAATAATACTTTCTTATGAATAAGATTACTTTAAATTAAATATAATTTTATTTTCAGGTTAACTTAACGGATAATATTTGCCATGCTTGTTGGCAACTTGCCAATGAAGCGACACATTGTGATAGCGAGTCACCAGAGTCTGCACCTTAATCTTTGCCAACAACTGATGATCATGACTCTGAATCTCAGAATGCCTATCATGAGGATCCCACTTCAAACCCAATACAGCCGGGCATCCTACAAAACATAGAAGAAACAATAACTTTGTTAAGTGTACGAAGAGCAGCTGCCACACCCCGTCACTGTATTTTCCCTAACTGCTCTAACATTGAACAGTACTATGTGCGAGATGTAGTTCGATGTCGTGTCATGAAAGAATATAATTATTACATACCACGTAGTTCTCGCATATGTAGTTACCATTCTGCTGCAAATATGTTTCATGAATTGTATTTGTCTAGTAATAGCTTTAACAACTTTACTGTTAGCCAAATAGAAGATGTAATCTTCGTTTTAGTAGACAGTATAAGACGTAATACTAACTTTGATTTTGAAGATGTAAACACCATACCAGATAATTTATTACATTATTGGATTGGTTTCAATAAAGATCAACATCGTCAAATATTAATTGAATCTAGATTAAATAATATACGAAGAGGGGGTCTAGCACTGACTGCCTTTTTATGTAAATTAAGAACAGGAGACTCTGGAGATAGGCTATCTGTTTTATTCCAAGTGCCTAGGAGAACCCTAGAAACATTAATGGACATAGCCAGAGAACATTTAACTTTATATTTTGTACCTAGACATTTAGGACTTCAGCATATAAGTAGGGAGGAAGTGGCTGCAAAAAATTCTATTATCGCCAATGGTTTGTTTGGCAATCCAGAGTCTCCAATAGAAGAGCGACACGCAATATTAATATGTGATGGCACATACGTCTATACACAAAAAAGTTTAAATTATTTATTTCAAAAATCGACATATTCTATGCATAAGTACAGAAACCTTGTGAAACCATTTATGATTGTCTGTTGTGATGGGTACATATTAGATGTTCTCGGTATTTATCCAGCCACAACTAATGATGCCACCATAATGTCAGCATGGATAGAAAACACCGATTTTCTACAATTTTTCAAAGAAGGAGACGTTTTTATTTTAGACCGCGGTTTTAGGGATTGCATTGATAAAATTCAATATGCTGGATTTGATGCTCATATACCAGAATCTCTTTCACCAGGCCATTCGCAACTTACAACTCTGGAAGGCAACCGGAGCCGGTGTGTGACCATTAATAGATGGGTTGTAGAAGCAGTAAATGGCAGGGTAAAAAGAGATTTTAAAATATTTCGACAGGAATATTTCAATAGAGCTGCTTCCCATTTAAAAAAAGATTTTCAAATAGCAGCAGCTCTGTTAAATGCTTATGCTACTCAATTTACAGACTCTGTCCATGCTGAAGAAATTGTGAGCATTATAAATGACCGGCTGTTTCGTAGCAACACTCTTGCTAATATTGTGGCTACACAGAATTTGCACCGAAGAAATACATATTTTAATGAGATCATTACAGCAGATATATCTTTCCCCGAGCTAACAATGGAAGATTTAGTTTTGTTTGCTTGTGGGACCTATCAAATACGTCAAGCTAGGTCATACATTGGGGAACATTTACGGTTTCATGGGGTGTATGAAACTGAAGTATGTCGAGAGGATGTAGTGGATTTATCTGCTTTAGACGGAGAAGCTCCCGTTTTAATAAGAGCTAAAATAAAATCACGACATATTTCAAGGAAAACCTATTTTGTGTTTATTGCACTTGATCGGACACAGGAAGGTAGACATGCTATCATAGGCTACTGCTGCAATTGTATTGTGGGGTTGAGAACGGTTGGTTGTTGCTCACATGTCATGAGCATAGTTACCAAACTATATTTGGGGTATGCTTGTCATTTTGATAATATGTCACCACCTGCTCAAGTTTTAGATAATATTCTAGAAAGATTGGAAAATCAATAAAATACTGGAGTTTGATTATATTTTTGTTTTATTTCATTACTTCCCTTGCCACATTTAATTACTTACATAAAAGTTGCTCATTGAAGTTTATAGATATGAAATATATTTCTTTAAGTAAATAATAAATAATACATGGGTCAGAGACGAGAACATATAAAATAAAAGGTCAACTAACTAATAAACATTTCTATTTGATTTGTAGAGAGTATTATGCAAAACATTTGTAGCTCCTACAAACCGCACAGAGGGCAGCAGATTCTATTTAACCTTCACCTTTTATACTGCCTACTTTTATATTTTTGTCACCTTGCCTGTCCAACACGACTGTTTTACATTGGATCACCGGGGTTAAATAAACATCGATTATTACTTTTTACAGCAGGCACTTTTACGTTCTCCTACGCGATGCGGAGAAGAATCGCACAATCACTTCCTAAAACCAATGTTCAGCATTCTCTATCAATTGATCCTTTGTCTTGTGGCGCTTTTGATGATTATTTAGTTTCGCCAATATGCAGCTATTCAATTCAATTCAGTTTCTTCGTTATTGGCCCTTCTGAGATTTAGCCAGCATCTATTCAGGTTGTAATGGTGGGATTATTATTTGTTCAGTTTGGCTGCTTGTAGAGTTACCGGGTGTTGTGCAAATACAAGGGTATGAGATAAAATCAAACAAACCAAAAAGTTTGGCTGAGATATAGTAAAATAAAAAGGTTTTGCGCTCACTCACTGACTGACATTACTTTACAGCTTTAATGTCAATCAATGTGCCAGAAAATGACATTGACAACTTCTTTAGTAGTAAATACGTTTTATTTTTCCTTTGAAATACAGGTATAAAGCATATTTTTTTTACGTTTTGTTATTACTTAGCATCTTGTGCCATATTACCTTTATATGCGTATATCTTTTTACCCTACAGTTGTAGAGATATGGTACAATTAGGTTTTTTGTTACATGATTAAAGACAAAAGAAATGGCAATAATTTTGTTATCCTACATTTTATATTAACAGGGTACCACCGTTTGGCATGCAGGTAGATGTTATGACGTAGGCATCCGCTAAGAAAGGATTTAGACCAATTCTACCGCCAAGGGGATAAAATGGGGGATAAAAGTTTGTATGAAACTTAGTCAATTTTAAGCCAATCGAGCTGCGACTTTGCATGCATAAAGCTACTATGACGTAGGCATTCCCTAAGAAAGGATTTTGATAAATTTCACCCCTAAGGGGATAAAAGTTTGTATAAATCTTCTTAGATTTTAGACTGATTGAACTGAAATTAAAGATTGGAGCTACTATGATAAAGACGTCCGCTTAAATAGGATTTTGATAAATTCAAGGTATTAAATAAGGGATGATCGAGGACGTAAATGTATTGTGAACTATAAATGTATTATGTAGTTTGAACCTATCAGTACCTAATTGAACTAATTCACGGGCGAAGTCACGGGCAAAAGCTAGTAAATATAAATAGATTTGTCAAATTTTGTGTTTCGCGACAATCTGCACGACAAAAATTGTACGTTAGGTAATTTGAAAACTGATCGAGATGAAATTAGAATAATAACAAACAACTGTGGCTGTTTAGGATATAAGAATGTTATCCCATAACTTAGGCATCATAAAATGTTACAATGGATTTATCGAAACATCAGTCTATGTACTTAAAATGAGATTTATTTCACTTATTTACAATCCATCAGGAAAAACTCGAACACATTCATCCACAATACACTAAACATTAGAAATTATAATACAATTTCAGTCATTCCTTGACCACCTTACAGTAATATAGTCTATATATATCCGATTGTCAGTCACACAAGCTATGTATGTAATGACTGACAATAGTTGCAACAAGTGTTGTACAACATCTATGAAACTAATTTAAGTCTTAATAAGGCGCGTATCTTCTGGATGGAGAGGGTCCACGCATTCCAGGCCTGAAAACAAAAACAAAGTGTTAATCAACAACGGAGTGATTATACTTGGTACTTGAAATAGATACTATTTTATGTTTATCTACTAGAAAATCTATGTTGACCCAACCACAAATCAAACTTAGAACATGAAAGATGGGGACACCTTTAATGTGCAAGCTGCTAACATATTTGGTTGTGGAGGTCCTCAAAAAAGTAGAATAATACAAAGTAAGATTTACCTCCGGTCATCAAAGGTGTCACGACTGAAATCTTCATACATTCTGTAACAGAAGAAAATTTACAGTTACATTTTTGATAATAATAATAAAGTCTTCATTTTGTGATTCTAAGGATTTAATACTGAAAATATAGACAACTGATAATAAACCAGCTCGTTTTTAAACAAGAAATATCAACTATTTGTGATACTAGTTCTCACCCGCGGGACATCTGAGGTCCTCGCGGGGGACTTCTGCGGCTGTACATAGCATCATACGACGACCTCATGGCTCCCATTCCGCTGCGCATCGGAGGCAGGCTCGGCATTGGCGGCATCGGCTCACGGCGTAGCGGCGGCGACACGAAGTCCCCACGCGCGCCTCTCGATCCGCCCATGTCTAGCCCCCGGGAAGCCCCCACAGGGTAGCGTCTTTCGAACAGGTCTCTCGGAGAGTCGAACCGTGCTCGGTCATAATATCCATCGTATGGATCCTGCCATGAAATAATAACTATTACTAATGTCATTTAAAATGTTCAATCACTCAGGTAATGCCAGAAAACATATACATTGCATATTAATGAAACCTAAGCGTGATCGTTAAAAGAATGTAGCATCATCGAGCCCATCGAGAGTAAATTTTAGGTGCCCGGTTTAGGTACCGCGTGCGAGAGTGTATCCACGCGCTCGGCCTACATGATGCATCGGAGCGGACAGTTCGCAACCGGCGATTCGCAAATATAAAGAGATTAGTAGAACGCGTTACCCCAAATCCTCCCATCATGCGATCGCGGAGGAACGGCGGCGGCGGCGGCGGGGGGTAGGGATCGCGGCCAAACGCTCGATCGCGGAAACCGTTGCGGTCAGGGCCCATTGCCTTCGGGCACTCCTTAGACCAGTGCCCACCGCGTCCGCAGCGGTAGCACTGCTCGGGGTCGCCCATGCCCGGACGCTGGCGTACGCGACTCGTCGACAACTGCACCTTCATGGGCTGTCCGTCCACCATCATACCGTTCAGTTCTTTGATAGCCTCGTTCACGTCACCCGTCGCGTCCAAGTGCACGAAGCCATAATTACGAACGATATCGCATTCGACAACCGTGCCGTACTTCTGAAACAGCTCGCGAACCTCGGGCGCGCGCGTCTTGTCCGTAAGGTTACCGACGAATATTTTCGTGGTTGGCGTCGACGGTGCCTTCCGACTCTTCGCCGCTTCGATTTTGATCGGTTGACCATGAACTATCTCTCCGTTTAGGTTCTGAATGGCTTCGCGGCCGACTTGCTCGTTTTCCATGTGCACGAAACCGTAATTTCTGACGATATCGCATTCTACGACCGTACCGTATTTTTCGAATAGCGGTCTAAGATCGGCGTCCGTCGTTTTATCGGAAAGATTCCCGACGAAGATTTTGAAAGTACCGGCGCCCGGCATTTTAGTTTCTGAAACGCATACATAATTTGACGAAGTGAGTCAGCAGCGTTCATAGCAAGTTGGTATTTGGTCGCTATTCCGAACAGGACTAAAGAAATATGAGGATTATACTTACCCGATGTCAGCTTGACGAATTTCACAAAACCACACAAAATGAAATAATTATTTATATTTAATCACACGTAGCTTACAAGCACGACGTAAAAACTTGCAATATAAATATATAAGAAGAAAGATCCACGAGCAATCTCAAAGCTTAACAAAATGGCGTCGCTCGCTTGTGTTAGCGATGGGCAATTATTACTTAATAAAATCGAACTAGTCGATTGTTCGGCTTATTCGATATAAATCAATTACAATCGATGTTGTTCAATTAAAGTTATCAACGAAAGCTTGACATTCACAAAAACCATACATTATAAATAGAGAGAGAAAAAAAAAAACTATTGTCTTATAATGATAACATAATCATTTAGTAATAATGGAATAGAAAAAAATAGTGGAAAATCACTTATCCAGTTGCTGGATCATCTTAAGTTCAAGCATTCTTATCTGTTATATAATCGGATACCTTATAATAAGCGCGGTTACCGTACTTACTTTATCGAGAAATTTCTAGCGCAGCGTCATATTACTATACCCGTGCGTACTACTTATGGTGCGGTGCGGCGGGCGTGCGATGCGCTCGACTGCAGTTATTATTTGGCGCTAATATGATTATTTAGTTGTCTGTTTAGTAGTCAATCTACCAATTTGAGGGCACAATCTTCATGCTCGCAGACTGCTTCGTTCTCCGGCTCTACGCCGAGGAAATCGTGGAAGAAGATTACAGTGGGCTCGTGAACATTTGCTCTGGGAAGATAGCCAGTGCTCTGTAATGCTGTTTACCGAGTCCCGATTCGGTTTCCATCCTGATTCGCGAAGAGTACGCGTATGGCGAAATCCTGGTCGTGAGAGCCGCATGCAACACCCTTAGGAAGTCCATCCACACCATGGCAGGGCGATTATGGTTTGGGTAAGAATTCGTGTTGGTGGAAGAACAGACCTCGTTTGGATCAGAATCACCAAGACCGCTGAAAAATACCTCAACCTCAAGTGCTAGTACCAATAGTCTACCCACATCGACTATAAATGGGTCAAGAATTGATGCCCATGCACGACAATGCTCGTCGCCACACAGCGCGATTGATCACCAGCTGGCTGCAGGAGCACCATGTATCGGTCTTAGACTGGCCCGCGCAATCACCAGACCTAAACCTCATAGAACACGCGTGGGACATGCTCCAAAGAAGGGCTTTGATGAATTTATTTACAAACATTATAGAAACTTTTTTTGAATCTGTCCAGGATCTGGGACAATATCCCGCAGCAAGACTTTGTTAAGTTGATTCGAAGCATGAAAAATCTGAATCTCTCTCTGAAATCTCTTTTGATTTTTGCTAAATTACAAATAACTGAATAATTTCGCTATATTTTGCACTTTTTCTTGAAAAACACATTTATCGTTATTTTTACTATTATTCTAGTTTTCGTCTTTACTTAAATAATTTATTTTTATATACAAAAAATATTTATGTTTTATTCTATAATCTACGCTAATAAATGGATTTTATAATAATATAAATATGTTGTATGCTATTCAGAAGAAAAACTAAGAATAATTAAAATATCCCTAGACGATATTGATGTGTGTATATGATATGTGCATGTAGATTGATTGTTTTACACCATATCAGAATTTATGTACTGTCGTTAAATTATCGATAATGTCAATGCCTGACACTGTCAATCAAATAACGTTTGTGATTAAATCTCATTTTACAGATATGACCATGTGCCTTATTTTCGTTCAAAGTTAAATTGGTTCCCTATTCGTCGGCGCAGAGACTAGCATACTCTCACTGTTCTTTACTCTATACTTTTCCTACCATCCTCCCCACCATATCTTAAATAATAATTCACTTGTCGCTCCTCTTCATCACAATATACGTTGCGTTCCTTTTCAAACCTCACTCTCGAAATCCCTCGTCACTATACAGATTTCTATTCTTATTATTTTGCTGTGCATGCTTAGCGTCTGTGGAATTCTGTTCCAGAGGGTATCAGGAGGGCTCGATCATTAAGATCCTTTAGCAATGAAGTTAAAAATTATTTCCATTCTACATCTTAAAACTATTTTCATATTTTACTTTCTCTATAAAACTGTGAAATTTATTTCATATGTATACATTATTTTATTTATAATAATTTATAACGCTATTTATTTATCCTTCTTAATATTGCACTATCTATAGTATCTTTATTCGTTATCAATTTTCACCAAAGGTTGCCTAAAATAAATTTCTGTTTAGCAATAATTCCGCCATTGAAGTTGAATGTAATTATTATATGCCAACAATTTATTTTTAAGAGCTGGGAAAAGAAAGATAATCCTCTCTAAAATATAATCTTTATTTTTTAGAACGCAGTTTAAATTATGTTATTTTTGAACGCAACTTATTAATAATGTCATTTCTAGAGAAGTCCCTCTCTTTTCAAATAACAAGATCGATTTTATGTCTGACTAATCGAATTTGATACAAATCTTATATTATTTACTAACCATATAAATCCGTGAAAATTATAAAACTTAGATTAGATTGCTAATATAATTAGATGTTACTTAGAGGAAAATAGATTATTTATAATGAAATTAAAAACAAATGATTTTTCAAATGAATCGATATTACAATATTCAATCGATAACGTAGTATAGCATACTACGTTCCATGGGCAGTATAGAATTGAGGTCTGGAGAGAAATACCGGATTCTCTGGATTTATTAGAATTAGAATTAAATATAAATAAAGTAGAATAGGGTATTTGATACTATCAAAAATAAGTTGCATTTGTGGTAGATAATAATCTAATAAAGCTTATTTCTTAACATCTGCAGAAAAAACATGTTGAGATTTAGTAAAATAACGTAAAGAAAATGCAATATTTTTAGGAATTTATTCAACGATGAAAACGTTCTATAATTGATCGCGTCACAACCAATCACAATTCTGTTTACTGGCCTGTGACGTCATCAGCTGTCATGTCAAAGTAGTGTTAGAGAGATACATAAAATATCGATGTCTGTAGGTATCGAGTACTTTATAATAATTAACTGATAACAGAATACTTTGCCGCTTCTACTGATAAGAACTGCCAAAAAGAAATACAGAAAAAAATAATAATTTACTAAGCTTTTTAAAAAATCCAAGAAATAGGGAAAACGCCAGCTATTTAAAAAAAGAGCAACTTACATGTTTTTCTCATTTCTTGAACTTTACTATAATAATTCAAAATTACAAAGTCGATTTTGATGATAAATAGTGTTCTCCTAGTTAAAAACTAATTTAAAAAAACCATCAGTATCTGATATCTAATTATCAAATGCCATGCATTTAATAGACAGACATGCATGTATAAAAAAATTGAACATTCTTTTTCGTACTAATGTCTCCTCCATCTGTAGGTCGACAGTCGACATCTGTAGTCGACATCTGTATAAATGAGTCGTAAAATGTTAATGACAAAGAAAAAAACTAAACAGAAATACTACAAATGTATCGATATGAAATAAAAAGTTTCAACACTTTTAGCAAATCCTTACCTAATTTTATCACCCATCTCTACTCTATATAGTTACTATACTATTGTGATTGTGAATCTATTTTCTTCTAGACTCGAAATTTGTTTGTTATTTATAGAAGTATTAGTACATTGTGGCACTACGCACCACTTATAGATCACTTTTAAAAAAAAACTAGAGCAGAGGAAAATAAAAAACCTAAAAAATACACACTACGACTTCAATTTCTCTTTTAAATTATTATTTCATATAGGGATGATCGATATTCATCGATATTTTGTCATCGATGTTTGAAATTGGATAACATCGGCACATCGATGTTTTCGCGCCAAACGTCGATGTTTATGAATAAAATGTCAAGATACTCTATGGGCCATCTAACGTGCTCCAGGTGTACTAGCTAGATGATCTCGTATATCAAGTTCGACTATTTTATACTAGATGTCATCGGTTGCATTCGTAACTGGAGTACGCAAACAAATAGTTTTTTCTTTGCTTGCATTTTCTTAGGAAATAAGAAATAAATCTGTCAACTTCAGCGCTCGTTGGTACCTTATAGGTTACTTTATTCACCGGTCTTAGTTTCAAAGATCCGATCATTAGATAGTTCCACGTGCGAGTGCGGAATCGAAAAAGATACCACTGATCCCATCCTCTTCAACTGTCTGAAACAACCTACTTAATATGAGCAACTTCCATCTAAAACCCCCCGTCCCATTAACCTTAAGACTATCTTGTCATTTCTAACATACCTATCTTTTTGCGTCTTGTAAGCATATTAAAAAATATAACAATATACTAAAATCTACATGGCACTATCATATATTTATTGCGATATTTTTTATTTAATTTATTAGTACAATATGTGACGTTTGCTTTGTGTTGTACTTTTAGAACAAGGGAGGAAGAAAACTATTAAAAACCGTTTCTCACTATCCCGCAAAATTTCTGTGTAAAACGGAAAAAGGTCATTTATGTGTATAAAAAAAGTAACTTTATTGCTCGTTGGGCTCGTTCTCTCTCTGTGAAACTCCCGCGTGATTTTTTATGACACTTGTCTTATCCCATTACTTTTATGTTAAAGAGTAGAATCCACCTATCCCACATTAAAAAAGATTGTATTCAAATATTTATGTTGCACAGCGACTTCCACGGCTTCAGAGAGGCTTTTTTCTAAAGTTTGTTAATTCCTTTAACAGCAACGCAATCGATGTTTGGGGAACATCGATGGTTTTCATCTAATGTTGACTTCGATGTCAATATCGATGTTTTTTCAATATCGACATCCCTAATTTACTCTAAAGACAATTGTTACTTATCGATTTGACATATTTACTGGCCTGTGACGTCACGATCAGCGCCATTACATAGAGCAGCGCTTTTCGCGCGCTTTTGGCTATTTAAATTTTAACAATTATTTTCACCAAAAATAGAAGAGATTCCAATGGAATATTATGACAGTGTGTTTATAATGTAGCAAACAACGATTTAAAATAGTTTTCAGAAAAGTGTCAAATACCCTATTAAGTCGAGACATTGGGAGGAAACAATATTATGTGTACATTTAAAAAAATAATGACACATCCAGGCTAGATGGCATAAGAGAACACTGCTGTAATTGTCTTATTGGTCGATGTACACTGGGATGCTGTGCTCATATAATGACCATAGTTTGGTATCTTAGATGGGCCAGACACGAACAGAATGTAGATTATTCATTAGAGTTGTAATAAAGAAAAGAAAAATCAACATGTTGTTTTATTATATCCTTTTGAAATTAGTATTTTCACTACTACTTTATATAAGTTATAGTGTAATATAGAAAAGTAAAGTTATTGAGAGCAATCTTAAAAATTCAATGCAATGATGTTCATTGGTTCACAAAAAATGATTTTATTTCTTACAGTCAATAAAAATAATATATCAGATATGGAGCAAGTTTGAAGTATTAAGTGAAAGTATGCACTTCTAGGACCATGATCAGGCATTATCTGACGGGTACTTTACATATTTCAACTGTAATACCTCTAACACAAAATGATACAGTTTTAATAATACGACATAACCTCAAAAACATATTACACAATTACTCGATACTCCCAGCTTTTAAAAATATATTTAATGTCTTTCTTTGTTCTAATTGCATAGGCAAACAAAATAACATATGTTTCATCAAGTTACGTTTTATTCGATTTTACTAGTCCAAGCATGTTAGGCAGATGGCCATTGTTCTTTTAACAGTCGAAATACTGTATACAAATGTACAATGAGGAAGTATTAAAAAAAAAATTGTTTCTGAAATCAAACTAGATGTCGCTACAGTACTTTCTTGATTTCTCCATGACAACCTTTCCAGTTTTCTTTCAAGTTTAAATGTAAATTACTTTTCAAAACTTAATAAACAACTCATATTATATTTGTACTTTTTCGTATTTGTGTTATCTAAGTTTAGAACTTTTGAAATTTCAGTTTTTTTATATGTCAGTTAAAATGAATTTAAATTACTGTCTTTGTTCCATTTGTTTCCTGCAAAAATCAACTTTTGCTAGAGTCACCATCTAGTGGAGGTGCTTTTTTAGTGCTTTCTTTTTTTTTAAATAATAGTTAACAATCAATTTCTGAACAATAAATTCTGAGTTTTATCAAATTAATCCTCCGTCTATTTAAGACTAAATTGTTAAAATAATTTTTCAATTTAAAACATTATTTACGTTTTAGTTTTACAATAATATATTTTTTTTATTCATGAGCTCAATTTCTGAATGTTAAGGCTAAAGTTATTTTTTTAAGGTTTAAAAAGATCAATGTCATGACCGACATGTCAGCCTGCTGTCATTCTCATCTGTGATCGGGCGATACTTAGCATGAAAATATTGAATTTTCCACTAAGAAATTAGTTTTTATGGTGACGTACAGTGAGTTTTGAGAAAAGTGTAATCACAGGGCAACTACTGCACTGAAAGCAGATTCGGTAAGTAATAGTTATTTTACATTATGAGAAAAATGCGCTGGTGCTAAAATAGATCAAATGCCTTTTTGAATTATATCCTTTACGTGTTCGATGTTTCGTGTTACACAAATCACCAAGAGGTATCTTGTATTTTGATTGATCGGTTTTGTTATGTGTAAATTCGGTGTAAAATAGCATTGCTGATGTTGTACTGACCTCTAAAATTTACAGAAAAACCCATCTACTGATTATCCATCACCTGATCCCACCACCGGCTATGAACCGGAAAGCTTTTCCTGTTGTATCGTTTAGATAGATATTAATTTCGAGCATTTACATATGTGATGGTTATTGTTTGTCCTTTAAATAAGATTATATAAACGGTCATCAAAGAACAGAGTATAAATTCACATTTTGAGTGTTAACAACATACATTATTTTAATAGAAATTTATTGAAAGTATAATGCAGTTAATTTTCTGACTGTTGATAGATTTAATCATCCTCAAAAAAATTATATTATTTAGTACAATTTAGTAATCTTACTATTTTATCATATTGTTTGTTTCCTCCTTCATTATTTTCATTTCATTTTTAATGACTTATAACATATTGTATATAAGTTTAAATTAGATAAATAGTTAGCTCTTTTCAAATCAGTTTTATTTGGAGACATAAAAGTAATCATTATATAAGGTTTGCTTCTAGTATCAGGAGATAAAAAACTAATAGCTTCATCAATCAGTAATAGTAAAAAAACAGTTCATGTGTAAGTAATTGAAATTACTAACTAGAAATATCTTGTGTAAGATTGTGCATAACACATGCACAATTTTATTACACAGGAGGTTTGACCTGACCTAACAAAACTGTAAATCTACAATTCATTATTGTTGCAAAACTTACCAGATAAACTTAAATCTATTTACAATAAAATTTCATTTTAAACAATCCCTATACAATTGAAAACGGGATAGGATTCACATATGATTCTGAAAAATCTCTTATTTATCTTGTTTTATCATCTTGGAGATGTATGTAATGTCATAATACTTTTAATAACCAAAAGGGTTCATTCACAATCATAAAGAAGAAATACTTAATGGTAAGATCCGAATGTAATTCACTATATTTATATTTTTCATTTTATGTTTTTATTTTGTTTTTCATATTATTCGAACACATGACTACCTTTATTGTTTTCTATTTCCTAGAAGAAATATCTAGTAATGATAAGGCTCCCTAATGTATGAGATATGTGTAATTGTCTTTGTTTTTGTTCTTTTGTACATTAAACTCTAGTAACTCATTTTATTAGTATTTTTTAATAGTTGACTGCAGTAACTTTTTTAACAAAATTATTTATCATCACATATACAAATTCCGGATTAAGCAATTGATACATATTGATGCTGAAAAAAAATTTGTAACTCTTATTTATGTAATAAATAACATAACCCTAACTTGATTAATACTAAAGTAAGATTTTTTTAAAATAAGAAGATTTACATCTCTAAAAAGGAATTTGGTTTTGTGGGTCACTATATGTTTATATTTTATTAATAATATCCAGGCAATAAAAAGGTGCAATATTAGTTATCTATCTATTAAATTATCTACCATGTGTTCTTAACAAAAATGCTCAAAAAAAAAAAAACACTTCCCTGGTACTCTGAGGTGGAACAAAGTGGTTTTTTAAAGCAATTTTCATTAAGAATATTTTTCTGTATAGAATTGTGAATGGAAAATTGGTCAAATATACAAATATACATATAGTTTGGTAATTTGTACAGTTTTTGAGAAATATAGAAATTTAAATAAGTTTAAGGCTCCTAATCTATAAGAGCTATTTTAAAATGAATGGAATGGACTAAATAGTTAAATAACTGGACGTCACAATAGCTGGTCGCCTCAGGTGACTTTCTGCAATCAATGTCCTTTCAGTCCCTTGTTTATTGTACGTCGTCCATCGGCGGCTCACCTACATCACACCATTATGTTGGATGAGGAAAGAGACCTATGAATGGCGTTTGTAAAAAGCTTTAGTCACGGTGACGTTCGAGGGTGTTAGGCGGAGCGGCAGTGTGCGGAAGTGAGAGGGGCGCGTGTCGGAAAGAGAGGTCCGTCGCTCGATACGCCCCCAGGCCCTGGGGCGTCCCGTACCCCTCGCCTCATCGAGGGTTATGTAATTCAGTCCTCTATGGGAAATGCAGGAATGTATCCCTCCACTTTTATAATTGGCCCGCAATATTTGTACATCCGTGTGCACTGTGAGTTGATGTAAATTTAGGATAAAATATATATAAAATTATGTATTTTGAAATTTGCATTCCGGAACAAAACTCTCAATTGGAATCAGCATTTAATTTCTATAGAATACATACGACACTTAGTGGAAACGCTGTATACTGAAACAGTTTCTATCAGTTATTTCATTATATATCATCATAATCTACGATTTTATTAAAATGTACAAGTGTTACTCGATTGCAATGAATTTTATGATACAAATTTTATGTCATTCCCTGTCAGAAATTACTGTGGGCGCGTGGCCGCGGTGTTATCATGAAACGAACGAAGGTCAATTTATTTCTTATTCCCACGCACATTTCCAACCACTTTGAAGGTATCGCTTTACTTTAGGAAAATACTAGTTATATATTTTTTAGTATTTTTTGTACATAACGGATGTAATCCAGCATTAAGGAGGTTCCATTTTTCTAAGATTGGATACCTAAATCGTATTATTACTCAATGGAATTTGGTATTTAATAATTTGACGGCGTGCAGTAAAAATATAGGACTTACGGTCAGTTGCACAAACGTCCATTAAGGTTTAATGAGGCCTTTAAGCTCTAATGAATGTCAAATTTGTATGGGTAATGCCACTTTAAACTAATGACAATTTAGTGGACGTTTGTGCAATAGGCTGATAGCTGTTAAATGATAAATAGTTGGAGCATTCTTCACAGTTTTTTTAGGGTTCTGCATCTCGATAGGAAAATATTTATGAATGAATGAAATATGCTTTATTGTACACCAATACAGGACAAAACAATCGAATACAATTAAATTAAATGCACAATTGGCGGTCTTATTACTAGAAAGTAATTTCTTCCAGGCAACCTAACCGAGTTATATAAAAATCTCATATATATAACTCGGTCGTTTGCCTGTCCGCCCTTCTTTCTGTCTTAGTGTCCTGAAACTACTCGACCGGTTGAGTTAAATACTGGTACATTGTAAGTTGATGATTGAAAATATAAAAAAAGTTGATTATTTATGTACTTTTTACATTAATGTTCCCATGGGAACACAAATTTGATTCATACCCAACCCAATAAAGGATCTACAGGTGATAATTGAAAATAACGAGAAATGAGTATTTAACGACATTAAGAAGAACATTATTTCTGCTTAATTATAAACGTAACCGTAAAAGGTACTTTAATACAATATTTCAGTCGCTTTCGTAAATGAAGCGAGAATGAGTGTAATTTGTAAAATATATATATAAAAGATATTGTTCTCGAGCTTAGTTCCGTTAAAGTACACCCACTTTACTTAATTAGAAACGTAATGGTATAAGTACAAACAAATACAAATACAAATCATTCGATAATAGCCGGGTGTCTCCACGCGCGTGGTCCTGTGATGAGCGTGTGATATTGCGTAGGTAACATTGTCAGACGAAGACGAAGGACTCGTTATTATTACTAAAAAGGAAGTATCGCACAAGTACGCACATCCAGCTTATTTTCCTCCAGCTTTACATTAGAAAAGCGAGCGAATTGGAATATGATTACCTTAAAGAAAGGCCCTTTCTTATATTTTACGAAATGATAACTTACGTAAAAGACGTGTTTTATTTTTCATACACACTGCTAACATAGTAAGATTATTACAGTAGATAAAGTATCAATGAGAGAACGTATGAATATGATGACTGCCTCCCTCCCTGTTAGTAAGCAAAAATAAGACGCTTCCTTCTCCCTCAATCGTTTTACTTTATAAACGGATGGCGCCTTATCAGATTTTAATCCCTTTTATATTTTTTAATATAGCTTATTGTTATATGTTTACATTTGCATGGCGTGGCAACTTATAATTACGGTATAATTGATCACTATAGGTAAATAAATTCATGTCTCGTTTGTTGCCCTTACTCCATTATACAATATATACTTAGGTCACCGGTTTTCAAATTATTTGGAACACACGCACGCATACGATACAGGAGCTCTAGGATATAATCTAGTCATATGTGTTTACTTTATTAATAAAATCAATTACATATAAATTGGTGACAGTACTACGTATTTAGTGACAGTGTAATTTGTAAAATATGTATGTGTAATTTGTAAAATATATATATAAAAGATATTTTCATTTATATTTATAATTCATTCAGTTATATTAAGCAATTACATTTATCTCTCATCTTTCTAACGCTAAAGAACCATAGCCATTACAAGATTGTGCAGCCAATAAATTCACACATTACGATTTTAAATTTATGTTTTACGATCATTGCGCCAAGAAAGCCCAAACCAAAATTTTACTTTGTTTTAGTTACCTATAGATATGTAAGAAGAGATGTCCTAACTGACTAACAGATAACGCACAGCCTAAACCGCTGGCCGCATGTAGATACTTGAAATTTTGAAGGTACATTCGTCCTATTATGTTGAGGTGTACTAAGAACGGAATTTTTGGAAATTTCACCCCGAAGAGGGTCAAAGGGGTTTGTATGAAACTTGTTTGTTTTTAGACCTACGAGTAAATCGATGAAAATTGGAATTTAGGAAGTTTAAGACCTTAGGAATGTAATAGGTTAAGTTTTATCGAAGATTAGCATTTAAAGGGTTGAAAAGGGAATTATTTTTTATGGGGAATCGAAATATTACCATAGCAACCACTGTTTAGAATTTGATTTGTTATTGTAATGAATGTATCTATTAAAATTTATAAAGATAAATAGATAGATTCATTACATATTGTGATAAAAATTGGTATGTGAGT